ATTATATACTTTGACCGGCAACCCACATCCCACTTCAAACAACTTTAATCAAATTTTGAAAACATTGTTAAATATGCATACGACAAAATGTGATCATTTTTAAATTTTTTTCTCTGTTGTGTGGAGGGTATGATTTCCTGCATCCCTAATGCTTCTTAATTGGGGGAACATGTTGTCCCTTAAATTATAAGCAAATATCAGTAATCACATAAGATTACTCCTAAGAGAAAAACTCAGATTTCATGTGAATGACCTCTCTTTAGTTTCTTCTTCCAAAAATACTACTTTATATTTAATAACCATCGTCAGTGGTCATAGATGTTGCATTTACCTTCGTGATGTTTGGAAGTTAAGACAACGTATTTGGCACCAGAAGCCTGAAAAATATCTGCCCACTGGCTTGCATTAAAAAACTTTGTTGAAAATAGTGGTCCAAAATCTTCATATGTGAAATCAGGAGGGTAATTATCTTTCATAAAGTTCACAAACTTTTGTATCTTTTCCTTTTGCCAATACCACCTAAGGGGAGGAACAGAACAGCACGTAAAGAGCATACATAGAAACATTTGAAATACTTGTACCAGCTCCCTTTACTAATTCCCCCTCACTCAAATATTACCCAGACCCTTTCTTATTTCCCCATTCATCTGACTTTACTTTAAGGAAAGCTTATGTAAACCCAAACTCCTCTCGTTTCCATCTATCCCTCTGTGAAATCTACTCAGCTCATAAACAAGAACATTCTAGACAACCCAGCCATCCATTTGCTATTGATTCTCCACTTTTGGATTGTAGCATGTAGTATGTATCTTTGTAACATAAGTGAAGAAGGCTTCAAAGGGAAGATTATGTGTCTAAAACATAATACGGATCTATTACATTCACTAGCACAGAATCAATGTGGGAGGATGCAACAGTAAAATTTAGAATATGCTCTTATTTTAATATATTGACTCAACCTTCAAGGATTACTATTATATGTATTTATTCTGCACAATGGGGCCTACATTTCTAAGCAAGGCTTCATGAGGAAAACTGCACCAGAAAACATAATTATACATTTTAGATAAACATAGCAGTAACTATTCTCAAGAAAAAAAGTCACAAGCCACATCTCTGGCCCATCTACTTTTTCTGCTCCTCCTTTCGTAAGAATATTTCTACAGGACGAACAGACTCATAATCAGCACTACGTCTCCAAAGATGATCAGGTTATTTCTGCTGAGACTTCATTAAAGATATATGTCACAGACACTATTGTTTGTTTGCTCAAAAGTCAGATTCGTAATTTTCCAGCTTCCACTGTAGCTTCGACATAGACACTTGAGCCATGTTGGCCAATGAAATTTAAGGGGAAGCCAATTTAGGAGATTCTGGGAATGGTTTCCTCTCTAATAAGAAGGAAAAACAGCCTTCCTGCCTTTAGACAAGGTTGTATGAAGTGATGCCTGGCTGTCATGTGACCATGAAGGAACAAGTCAACAGACTGAGGATGAAAGAAAGAACCTGTCTTTGATTTCATCAATGAGCCAACTACCTCTAAATGTCTCCTTATGTATGATAACGAGCCTGTTATTACGCATTTTATTTGGGTTTTCTAGACCTTGGAGTGGAAGTATTTGAATTGATCCATGACACCTTTTTACCTTATAAGTTGAACTACAGAAGAAAAACTGGGAGTCAGAAAGTTGAACAAAGTTAAGAGATTTATCCTATTTTTCTCTTAGCACAGTCTAATTTGAACCTACATTTTCTATATTGTCTAGAGCCACTTCTCAAATTTCATACTAATAGACATGAAAAAGGGCACCTCAACAGTCCATCATTTATATTTGGTTTTAAATTACCATTAAGGATAGTCAGATATACTCATCACTACTGTTGACTGCCCACCAGTCAAATTGGAATGGGGAGCAGAGGTTTAGAAAGCACACAGAGAGAAACCATAAATGTTATATAAACTTCCGCAAGGTTAATGTACTTCCAGACCTTTATTTTGTTTTGTTTAAGAAATATCTTTATTGTTCTAGGTCACAACAAACAACCCTGTGTTCATTTGTAGAAAGTGAAAAGTTAACAATTGCAAAGAATAAAATTTCTCGAAACTAGCTGTTTTGGGCAGAACACTAGTCTCAATTAACAAACGTCAAATCCTCTTCCAGCATCAAATGTATATTTACTTATTCTTCATGGCTGAACAAAATGATAACTTAAAATATGTATTATGTTTAATAAAATAAGAAAAACTGTTAATTTATGTACCTAGCTAACCTGAAACATTTCAAAAATAACCCCAAAATGCCTTACGGCACAAAACTTGCAAAGAAAGATTTATAACATCCTGAAGTAAATACGTTTGGTAAAACATGGTGTAAGAAGAAAGTCCCTTGTTTTACAACAAATTGATTTCAAAAGAGTAGATGAATAGTACTCCATAGCTTACACGACTGGCCTAATTTAATAATATTTACTGGTTGTAGAAAGTTAATCTGTAGAAAATGTTACAAAGTATACTAAGTATACTCTATATTGTATCTACTATATATAGTATATGTTAAATTTGATGTACACTACATAATATGTAAAGTAGATTTTAATAAACTCATTTTTATTTTACTTAGGAATATAGGAATTTTACTTAGGAACATATATATGCACACACATATACACAACACATATATTTGATTACATTTCTATCTTGAGGAATTTAATACCTGAAATATTTAATTAGGAAAGGTATCTGAAACACTTCATAGTTGTAAGAGATTACATGCATATTTTTATATAGGTCTCAAGGTAAAATCTAAGGAGTAATTTGTGCAGCATCGTCCATATAGTCTATTAATAATTAAGGTTTTTTAAATTAAGGTAACATTCTAGAACCTTTTTAAAAATTTTTCTAGAGGCACACATGGTAATAGTTTGACATTAGAGAGCCAGTGCACACCCAAATGAACAGATATTTCACATACTCATGAATTTGTTTAACCACACAAAATTGGCAGGTAGCTGATAGGACATCGAGTCTCAGTCTCAAGGGACAGTTTAGGCCCAAGCTTCACTGCCCATCATTTAACTCTACACAAGTTGATTAATTTCTGCTCGTTTAACCAGTCGATAATTATACTGTAGTATGAAAACTACAACTTGATAAGTGCAACTATCCAGAGGCTAAGAAGCCAGGGCCGGCCACATCAAGTATCTGAAAACAGCAGTCACATAGGAAAAAGTCAGTGCCCATCCAGGACGAAGCGCTTATACACTCAATTATACGTTTAACACTGGAAATTCTAAACGCGGTTAAAACAGTGGGAGGAAGCAAAACAACCAGGCCAAGGCGGTGGGCTGAGACTTGGCTGGAGGCCGGGACACAAAAGCAGGGTCAGAGAATACAGAGGGAGGAGCACTCACCAGAACCATTCGCTCCCGAAACTGGGCACGGAGAACACGCCCCAGTGGATAAAGATACCGAACTTAGCCTGGTCGAACCAAGCGGGCAGCTGCCTGGCGTCCAGGGACTCCCAGGTGGGGTCAAAGCGCTTGGCGCCGCGGGCAGAATATTGCAGCGGCTGCAGCAGCAACAGCAGCAGCAGCAGCAGCAGCGGCGGCGGCGACGGCGGCGGGAGAGGGACCCCCCGCAGCTCTGGGGGCAGCATGTCCCGCGCCGTCCTCCGTCCCTCGGCCCGCTCGCGTCCTTCCGCGTCTCTGCTTAAGTTCGCTCCGCCACTGTCACCTGACCAAGCTGTCTAGGAGAAAGACGCCCTCCCCCACTGGGATGGGAGTAGCGCCGGAGCAGAATGTCCCTAGCGGGGCTGCAGGGCTCCGTTGCATCTTGGGAGGAGGCCAGTGCCATCCCTATGGCTGCTTAGCTAAGGCTCCCGGTCACTCTACGAGTTTTGAAGAGAAAATGAATCTGGTTCAGGGACCTATGAAAACGCCTCTCTCCTCCAACTGCACGACTGTTACAAAAACGTCAAGAGAGGGCCGGGCAACCCATGGACCTGAAAGGCCAAGGCAGAAACCTCGAGCGAGTCATCCTGTCTCTTCTAGGTTGAAAGCACTGAAAACAACCCAGATCATTCTCAGCTTCTGGTTGCCTGAGTCTGTATCAGGTGAAATTCCAAGAGTTTCCAATTCAGGTTGGGCCCCAGAGCTTACATTTTTAACCAAGTGCTAGTTGCTGCTGTTCCTGGTCCAGGCAGCAAACTAAGAGAATTATTGCATTAGAAACCAAGGTGATCTAAGAGGAGTGAAACCAATGAGATGAATATTTAAGAAATCTCCAGGCTTGGGAAAAGAAGCCAAAACATTGGAATGATTATCAAGGGACATCATCAAAGCTCATGTCTCCCCCTCTTATGGTTTCAGAGTAAATCCAGGATCCCCAGCCCTTCGGCTCCTACAAAACCCTCTCTCATTCTTCAATGGGCCAGTTCAAATGTCACCTCCTCCCACCACCTTCCCTCCCAGAAAGTTCTTCTTTTGTGTTCCTATCAACATCTTCGTCCAACTTCTAATAAAGGGATTCAAAGATTGTCTTGTAGTTAGGACAGAGATCTCGTTTCTCATTAGGCCAGGAGCTTCCTGAGGACAAGGATAATGAGTGACCTTCCTTTCTGCAGCCCCTGCATTTAAAGCAGAACCTGGCATGGAGCAGTGCTCAAAGCATGTTTGTTAAGTCCTTCACTAGGGTTCTAATTACTAAGTGTTATAAAAGGATGAAGTAGGTGAGAACTTACAGGAACTTTAATGTCATAATTTGTGGCCCAACATTTGGATTTTTGCAGTTAGAACTCAGAGGCTGCTTACAGAGCACGACTCTGCTCCTTGAACTTGGAAACTGCCTGCAGAATGAACAGTTCTGCAGCTCTGTGCTTTTAATTTCTGTTGGTAAGCTTTTGTGCTAAAGCCTGAACCAGAACTAGTGTTATTGAACAGAAAAAGTTCGTCTGCCCAGCACTAGCAGAGCCAAACACTAAACACCGAGAATTGCAGTGGAGAAATATTGGCTATTTTATTGATGAATGGCGCCATTCAGGAGAACGGGTAGCTGATGCTCAAAAGCTCAAACTCCTGACAGCATGTAGGTTACAGATTATATAGGGCAAAATCACAAGACATCATGAGTTAGGATTTCACAATTGCCTGGGAGCTGACTGGTCAGAGGTGCAGTAAGGGTGAGAAATCATTTTTTCAGGCCTTGAGTTCAGTGCTAAGGTCTTTTCCAGCTTCCCTCCGTCTGGTCTCATGGGAAGGTAGCCCGGAGTCATGCCACTTTAGGGCTCAGGAGTTGAAACATAACTTAGGTCAACATGTTATCTTTAGCCTGCCAGAGGTCCAGGCCGTGTGACCATTAGTCTCGTCTGAGCAACTGCCTTCTGCTGCCTCGAGGGTTGCTGATTATATGGGGGAGATAATCTGGGTCTCTGAGGCGTGTAGAGAGAGACAGATATGATTTCTAGAGCTAAATTTAATTCAAGTTGTAAGGACCCTCAGTTTCGCCAGGACATTGACAAACGCCTAATCATCTGCTATCCACTGTTCTCATCTCACAGTTCCACTCGCTTGACCACTGAGTCAGCCGACCGTTGAAAGTCCCGTTGCCTCCACCAATCCAAAATGAATGATGTAAGCTTGTGGTCTTGTCGCCCCTAGCAACCCATCTCTTTGATAACTTAGGGCTTTTAAAATAAGCCCCGTTCTTCCCCTTCTCATCTCGGAACATGTTTTCAGTTTATACTGAGGACTATGTCCCTGGTTTGCAAATCATATATGAATAAAACTCTCTTTTAATTTCTTTTGGGATTTCCGTTAACGAAGGAAATGACACTAGGTAGCTGTTGCCCTCATTTTCCCATCTCTACGAAGACATGGGAGCAGCAGCTGCCACTGTTACCCCAGGTAGAAGGACATTCACCCTCTTGATGCAGTGTCTGTGGCTCCCCAGGTCCACAGCTGTGCCATATGGGCCCACAGTCTTCCCATGGCAAGGGTCTCCCGGAAGAGAGACCCTTAGCTAAGCAGGGAATCCACTAAACATGCACTGCCAGTTGCAATAACCCCAGTTAGTGGTAAAGTGGGTGACAATTTTTATTATTTAGACTTTGATCCTAGAATGATCAAAGACCTCAGTGGCCACTGAACCCTGTGGGCACATTTGAACAAAAAAAAAATGGACCTGTTAGTCATTGTGTTTTGACATCCTTTGAAACAGAGATTTGTGTAATAAGTACATAAGACATTTTTCACAGGGACAATGAGATTTCGAACTCTCGAAGGGACAGTAGACATAGCTGGGTCACAATGAAGCAGCAGGCCCTGTCTTCTCATCAAACATCATTTCCCCATGTGAACCCCACATTTTGAAAGTTTTCATGTTCCAAACCAATTTATTTTATCATAAAATAACTTATTTACATGTTTATGTATTTCAGTTGATGAACGCTAATCAGAACTTTTGATCTGCATGACTGCCACTGGGGTCATTCATCATTTTACGTGAAGGAAATGAAATGATTTTTAGTGAGTAAGTACAACCTTATCATAAAATTACGATTTCTGTAGGAAATTCTGAAAATAGATGAAAGGCCTTCCTCAGTGCCCTTGAGTACAGATAAGAATTCTAGAATACCAGGCGGGAAACCATTCATGTAGGATTTGGAATGAATGAAAAACAGATTTGGAAATGAAGAAGGAGAAGAGATTCTACTCCAAATTTACTCGTTAAATGACTGAAATAATGAAATCTATGAAATATTTTAAAACATAGTCACTTATGGAAAGACCTACAGGCAGTAAATTGCACTTCACATTTATAAAATAATCTTTTACAAACCTGCAGCCTTTGCATCGTAAGCCACTGCTAATTGAGCAATGGAACCACACGACATTAAGGCTTAAATTCTGTAATTAAAGGCTTTGACAGAAGATCCAGATACCTGAGAAATGACAGATTCCCCAGATGCACATGGCTCGTTTAGGGGGGCCTTGGGCCTCAGTGGAGAATACTGTCAAGGAGCCCTGATCCCATCCTGTTTCTCTGAGGTCACTGTGAGGTGCCAGATGAAGAAAATAAAAGGATAAGACCTTTGTCCCTGCAGCAACAGTTGTACCTCGCTGTGAAGCCACCACGGTCAGCAGCCACAGGCAGGGCAGCTGCAGGTACACGGGGTGCTTGCCATGGTCACTGCTCCTGAACTTGAGGACAGGAGAGAGCCGGAGGCGACCCCGGCCAACTCCTTTGTTGCTACCAGAGGAAGTCATGCCACTGCTGTCTCTTGGGGATATCGTTAGCCACTGAGGGTGGAGCTGACATCTGAGTGAAGCTCTCAGGGACACATTCTGTATCTCATATGGGAGTTGGGTGACTGCCACAACCAGTCTCAGCAGCTACCAGAATTCCTCTGAAGTGGACAAAGGAATAAGTGAAACATTTGCCTCACAGTTGATATCAACGCACAGTCTCTCTCTGGAAATGTAGAAGAAACGTGTTCAAAACAAACTGAACCCACTTTATTCTTTATATGGTAAATAAACCAGCTTATGGTATGACTAGCATGTGGCATGGGGGAAATAAAATCCTGCCTTTTACTGGCTAGGGGGTAGGGAGTAGAAGGAAGAATGGAGGGAAGAGGCCATGGGGTTCAGGGGAGACAGGAAAGCAGAGGGCACAGAGTCTGAGAACCCAGATTCTGCAGCCAGGCTGCCAGATGCCCATACCCAGTCCTTCCTCTGCCACAAGACTGTGTGATCCTGGGGAAGTTGTTCAACATCTCTGTGCCTCAGTTTCCACACCTATTACACGTGAATGATAACAGTATCTCTTCCTCATAGAGTGGTTGTGAGCATTAAATCATGCAAAGCACATATTAAGCCTCATCTAAGTGTAGACTAGTATGGTCGTGGGTGTTAGATGAAAAAGGGGAGATTAAGGGATGGGGCATTTCTGTCCTGAATCCCATTTAAGTTTCCAGAAGAAGCCTCTTAGGCTGACTAGCACATTTAACTAGGTGGAACCGTGTTGTTAGGTGAAAGGAGAGGCTGCTTCTTTGCTTTCCCCGATGACCTTGATACTCAAGTGATACACACAAGACCCAGAAGTGGCCTGAGTGGTTCCCTGTGGCCAGGTGTCTGTGCCAAGGAAGTGGGGTTTGCAGCCATAACCCAGCATGCCAATGGAAGCCAAAGCGGGCCCAAGAGAGACCGGATCATGAATTACAGCAGCTACGGGTCTCCCCTGGGAACACTGCCAGGACAAGTGTGGGTACCCCAGGATCAGAAGAGGCAGAGGCACCAGTTCCTTCTCAGTGCCTAGAGAACAGCACCTGCCCCTCCCTGCTCCCAGGCCCTTGCCACTTTAGGGAGAAGCGGGGTCTAGGAAAGCATTTGAGATTTGGAGCATTTTTATCCAGAGGAGGTTGTTTAATTTACAGGATTTGTCTATATTTAGTCCAGATTGAGCAATTAATTTTGGCCCCCAACCAGCTGGTATGTGAGTGGGGGGAGAGGGACCATACGCTGGTCAGCAAAGGCAAGCAGGTTGAGTAAAGCAAACAAGGGTCCACATTTCCTCTGACAGTGGGCGCCACCAGGTAACTTTAGAAGCCTGGCGGGCAGCTAAGCATCGGAATGTGCAATACATTTGTCTTCTATTTCACTCCTTCCCAACGTCGTCATTGGAAGATGAGCCATCTAATTAGTGCCCGTGCAGGCAGGTTCAATTCAAGGAGAAGAGGTCTGTGTCACACATCAGTCTCCTTTCCGGTGGCCCTGTGTCTGACGGGGACAACCTTTTCTGGGCCGTAGTGGTGAGAGCAGAGGGTCAAATTTTGAGTCGGAGGGAAGGGGCCAGGTCCTCGGAGAAAGAGGAAGCAGAAAAAAGAAAAAAGAAAGCAACAGAGGAC